GCGATGCTCATAACATCGATCTCGTGCGATGCCCATTCGAACCCCCCTGTGGGTAGATACTGGCTCATGGCCCAGCCGTACAGGTTATTGGCGTCGAGGTAGAGAATATGATCGGGTCGTAGCCCTTCACGTATTGATTATTTGCTTTCGCATATCGTTTGGTAGCCATGGAAATCCTACCTCGCAAGCCTTTCTCAATGAATAGGTGCATGTCGTAATCGGTGAGCAATTCCAACTTAACTCCGGTCTTTTTCAGCAATGCATCCCACGACAGACCTGGGCTGGTGTTGTACCATGCGGGGTCGAGTTGATATTGCTTGAAACACGTCCTCCTTAACGTCTCAAACACGTCGGCTAGCAGGAGTACGTCTGTCCTCAAGTACAGGTCGTGGTAGTCACCCAGATTCTTACAGCCCAGTTTATTCCATACGTTAATCGCGTGCAAGTAATCGTCTTGAGTGATTGTGGAGTTGGTCAGGTTGCTGTAAAATCGGTTGATAGGAGGCAGTCGGGTCTCGGCGAACTTGGCCCAGCCATCCATGTACTCGTAGGGGTACATGTCTTTCCTCATCAGCAGGGGTCGAGTCTCAAGCGTCGGTGTATCGATCGGTCATGGGGAAGGTATTGTTGGCCTTGACCAGACTGTCGCGTGACGACTGGAGGAAATGAACCGAGTCAATGAACCTCAGACCATTCAAGCTGAAGGAGATGTATCTCTCTATGTTGTTGTGGATTCACGTCAGGTTGCCGTCGACTTTTGCAATGGCCTGCATGATCAAGTGAGAGTCGTACCCTCTCAAGTTGTGGAAGACCACGGGGATGTTTATTGTCTTGGGGGTGATTCTAAGCTTGAGGTTACACGCGTTGTGAGCGGCGCCTCTATACTTACCGATGACGTGGCAGTGATCTCTCACCGAATCACCGTTCAGTGGTGAGTCACACACATGGCAGTAAGTGCTGCAGGCGTGAGCTAGCCGGTGGGCTTGGGTCATACGCATGGGAACGACTGTATACAGTGCATTCCTGATAGTTTTTTCTTCCTCCTGCAAACACTTTAGAAACTTTTCAGCCACGTCGGGAACCATATACACTACCGGAGCTTTCGTTTCCCCATCACATCGGACGACCACGTATCCAAACCCACAGGCCTCATGCTGCTGTGTTTTTTGTGTGCCTGGGGTACCCCCAACATCAACTGGTTTGACCAAGGCTCCAAAGTCGGCGTAGGAGACATAAGGCACAGACATTTGGTTCTTGTGGTTGTCGAATTTTAGTATATTGTAACCTTCCTTAGGCATGTCGACTGCATATGGCCGTCTGCCCCACACCTTGGCAATCCTCCCGGTGGGATTCTAATAAATCAGCTCGTGTGAAGCCATGTAGGCATCGTATGCAAAAGTGTTTTTTCCCATCGTATTTCGACTGGTCATGCAACAGCCTGCTGAGGTGTTTTATCCACGTGTAGTGATACTTATCACCTCGCTGGATCATGAATATATTGATCATGCGGCGGGGGTTTCCCAACATTGGACTGACCCTGTGCACTATTGTTGTGTTACCTTTGTGTCCTAAGATGTTTATGGCCATATCGTTCTGTTTTTCTATTTTAGTGATCTGAGATATGGGGGTTGGTTCATCTATACCATCCCAGTTGAGCCCATCGTCTTGGGGATAACTAGAAGGCCTGTTCGAATTAGTGTCAGCTGGAAACAAGGCTGACCTGATAGCTAACCTCAGGCAATCGTCTCCTCTATTCTTGACAGTGACCATGGCCTGTTTTGCTTTGTAGTAGGGGGGCAAGTCTATGTACGACCCGCCTCTGAATGGCACGAAGTTAGCTATGTCTAGATAGAAATTATCGATTTTATCCACGACCCACCCGGACCTCATGTGTGTGTAGCGTTCTAGTTATTCTCGTATCTGCTGAAAACTGATATCGATTGACTCGTCTATAGTCTCAGAATGAGTCACGACTTCTTGTTTACCTCGGAAGTAAGGCTGAACGTACCCAATGACCCCAGGGGGGGTTCCCCCCTGCTATTTATCGAGCGACATTTTCACTGTGATTTGAAACTTTATACTTCCCAAATCGTTTAGTTCCTCATTGACTTTATCAGCGATTAGAAGCTTGATATCTGCGATGTCTATGTTCCTATCAACATGCATGCGCCAGCCTCTCAAATAGATACCTACAGCGCGCTCAGTGCGCATGAACTCTAGGTCAATAGCTCTATTCTGCGTTATTGTTCTACAAACTGTGGCTTCCTCATACGGGAATAACCTATTAACCCCAACTGGCGGGCCTCCTGAGTTGTTTTACAGTGTTGGGCTTTGCTACGGGGCCATGTGATAATGTGGCTAACCCGGCTCTCCCCAGGCGGGAATAACCCATCAACCATAGCTCTTTTGCTTGGAGTTTTAGTTGTTTTTTTACCGTGGGAGAGGGTTGTATGTTAAGTAATCTCAACAACGCTGGTTTCCTCATTCGGGAGTAACCAATTACACCTCGCTGCCTGGCAATCTGCTTGAGGTCCCGAGTAGTAGACATTGTGTACACACATAACTAGATCAATCTCTAATTGGGCGCCGGGAAGGTAACTAAAAAAATGTGAACCGTATCGATTATTGGCTCAGTGTCGTATTCCTGTTTTATTATTTCCAGAATGTCGCAGATATATGAATGTAAATCAACTGATTCAGTCAAAATATACTCTCTGAAGACATCCTGATTTACAACAATCATCATTTGACAGTTGATGTGTCCCAATTCTTTGAGTTTGTTAATAATAAGAGGCTTGGCATCAGTAATAGATACATGTTCGATTCGCCAGCTATTCATTATTTTTATACTTGTAAATAATCTCTAATTACACCTCTATCCTGAGGAAGCGCCTACGTTCTTTTCTGTAATCTTTTTTCTTCTCATAGATAAAATGATGTCTCACTACGTTTGCCCCGTGAGTTTTGCACAGGCAGTAGTGACCTTTCACCCCGATACCACACACAGAACACGTGTAGTTCGGGCTTCCCATGTGGAAACAACAGTACCCCTCAGTCCTGCATCTCCTACCGCAGGCCTCGGTCTTCCCCATAAGTATGTACTGACATCGGTACGGGGCAGGTTTCATCTTTGGTATACTTATATGAGTACTTAGTCTAATTGTTTCGCAACCAACGCAGTCGCTGCTAGACCCAGCGCGATAAAGACCAGTTCGCGGTCCTTTTGCCCTGGGGTAGGGGTGTAGTACTGAGCGAGTATGGGCTTAGGAGGGAGTGGTTCTAGCTGTTTACCGGTTAGTAGGTAGTATTCTCTCGCTGCGTCGTCAACATCATGGAATGTTTTAACGGCATGGTTCTCACGCCTGAGTTGTTCGTTTATGTAATCGATCCTCTGTACACGTTTCTTTGCGTACTCAGCTTGCGCTGCTTGTAATCGTTCTACGGCCAGGTTGTGGCGCTTACGCTCCGCGTCCGACCCCCGTAGGTTTGAGAAGAGAAAATTACTCCCGGAAAATGCCAGGGCATTTACTAACGCCCCGCCGACCATCATGGCGATCGTAGCCATCCTATATATAGTTACATTTACTTCAAAATATTATCCGGTAGGATCCCTTGTCTTACTAGGATGTCCTTGGTGGCCACCGCCATACCCAGGTTCATTATGAGCATACCCATATCCTGCAGGTTGAAATCTAGCTTGATAGTTGGTTGTTTAAGCACCATTTTGGTCAACCGAGTGTACCCTACAGCTAGACTGGCGACCACGGTGGCGTGGTATGCATCGTTGACGAACATTTTCCCCTCAGACATTATGTATATGATATAAAAATATATATTTATAACACGCTATGTGGGTTGACCTCTAATTAGGGGGGCTCCTCCCGGGGCTCCCTTGGGGGTTGTTTATTATATAACCATGAGATAGCCACGGCAGCAGTTGCGCCTGCAATCAACATGAGTGGAGCCCGGCTCCACAGTGGAGCGTAGCTACTCTTATGTTGGTTAGACCACCTTTTTTTACCGGCAGCTACTCTCTTAGGGTTCTTCTGCCTGGTGACTGTAGGGTTCACCTCCCTGCGGGTCTCCTCTGAAGGGTTCAACTCCAGTTGGGGTTTCCCCAACGTTGGGGTCTCCTCCTGTGTCATTTCTTGGGCAGCATCCATCTTGTATACTATTATTATTATTTTTCCCCTGCTTAAATTGGCAATGCTTCGCCGTGATAATCGCCGCCATCACCGGGGCTAAAAACATACCATATTTGTGGTACAGCAGGCAGCTGACGGCACTCAAGGCGTGTTGGATAAATGGGTCCTTCTCGAGGTCCTCCCACAGGTAAAGCCGGCGTTCCGGGGGAATGGGGAGGACATACTGATGCCAAACCGGTGTAGATCTGCGTCATTGTTGAGCCTATAGTCTTCATCATCTCGGCCCCGAGCCGGGACTCGTATCTCGGGTACAGCTTATCGACCTAATCGGCTGACAGTTTCTAGATTTTATCAGGGGTATAGTCCCGAAAGTATTGTTTGGCCTTGCCACCGACCGCCAGCGCTACTAGTTTCTCTCGCTTGTCATCATCAGGCCGCTTATCGCCCTCCAACAGTTGTTCGAGTAGTTCATCACACTCCATCTTATAATATACTACAAACAAAAAGTATGGGAACACCCTCAAATTTGATCGCCATGCACAAACCTGACAGCGGTGGCTTCATTAATTCATAAAAGTGAAATGTATCTGTGACATGTGCTTAGTGGACACTTTAAAGACATGTTAAAAGAACTGTTGAAGCAATTGCTTCAATATTCGTGAAGTTTTGATGAAATTAAAAAGTGTCCAAAACAGCAAAAAACAAAGGTGCCAAAACACACCTGCACTGTGTCTGATTCAAACGCCCAAACACAACAACCTAGTGCACGTGAAAGACAGACTTCCCATGCATGTTGTGGCAACTTTTCCTTAAAAGAAGCTGCAGACAGTGTTGAAGCCTCACAATTACCCCAACATGCCTCAGCGTAGACCATTAAACGACAACAACAGAAGCAGGGCCATTGCATGGCTAGAGGATGGTGAATCCTTAAGAAGCGTTGGTCGTCGTCTTCAGGTGTCCCCTTCCGTCATTCATAGGCTGAGGGAACGGTTCCAAACCACTGGCCGAGTACAAGACAGAGCTCGGTCAGGAAGGCCACGAAAAACGACAAGGGCAGACGATCGATATGTTGTACTCCACGCCCTTAGGAACCGCTTCACAACTGCCAGTGCTCTACGGCTGCAGCTCAGACATGCAACAAACACAAACGTCAGCATCTCAACCATCTGGAACCGTCTCAGAGCTGCTAATGTACGGTCACGTCGTCCAGCGGTACGTCCTCATCCCTGCCCACATCATAGAGCTGCAAGACAGGCCTGGGCCAGAGCACATTTGAGATGGAATCAGCAACAGTGATCCGGGGTACTCTTCACTGACGAGTCACGATTCTGTCTTGAGCACAACGATGGAAGGATTAGGGTTTACAGGAGGCGTGGAGAACGTTACCACGATGCTACTGTGAGGGAGAGGAACAGATTTGGTGGTGGCTCTGTGATGGTTTGGGGAGGCTTCAGCTTACATCACCGTACTCCTTTGTACCATGTACAGGGCAGTTTGACTGGATTGAGGTACCGGGATGAGATTCTGCGTCCTCTGGTTCTTCCAGCTTTGAACACCATTGGTGCCGGAGCACAGCTTCAAGATGACAATGCAGACCACATCGAGCTCGAATCATTAGAGACTTCTTGCAACAAAGTAATGTGAATGTGATGCAGTGGCCAGCTTATTCACCGGATCTGGCTCCAATTGAACATCTATGGGACATTCTTGAACGACGTGCTAGAGACAATCATGGAATGGCACCGACTCTTCAGGTTCTTGTACAGTGGCTCCAGATGGAATGGCAGTTGATTCCCCAAGCTACCCTCCGACCCTTGTCAGGTCCACGAGGCGCAGATGTACAGAATGCATCAATCAACGTGGAGGACACACCCACTATTGATACTGTGACTTTCAGTTTTGACCCCTATCCTCTTCCGCTGCTTGTACTGGCATTGCAGTAAATGATATCTGCCCATAAATCCATTACATTTTAAGAACAAATAATGTTTTATGTACCCTTGTAATAAACCGACCCTGCCACTTTAAATTTTTCGTTATACTTTGATATTTGGGTGTTCCCATACTTATTGTCGGTAGTATATATCAAGCGATTTTTAACTCTAATGATATAATAACCGATACAGGCGAAACACAGTGAGATAAAGGTTAAATTACACACGATGAGCACTTCACAAACCATTGCTTAGCTTTGCTTAGCTTTGCTTAGCATTTACTTAGTATTGCTAAGCTAAAACACCCTATAGGCCACGGGTTGGTCGGTCTTGAGCACGAGCTTAGCATGCTTAGTTTCAGCCAGCTGTTTCTTCACACGTTCCCTATCATGTTTGCTCATCACACCGTTTTCCCTCAAACACTCCTATAATCCCTGTCCTTGCAGTGGAACAAGGCCACCCATCGTGTCTGCTCCCTGAGGTCTTTCAACACCGAGTTGAACTTCTGCGGTAGCACCCAGACGCTGTGCTTTGCGTGCCGGACGGAGAAGGCCAGGTACGATAGCATGTCTCTCTTTTTTGTTATCTCACGATTAGCGCTGCAGTCATCCAGTATGAACAGCGTCGACTCCCCTTTAAATTTGTTGTGATATGCCTTCAACCAGTCCTGCAGACGTGTTCCCGGGTCGACTCTGTGTACGTCCGGGTCCATCATAACCCAAGGTCTTTCTGTGTACGTTCTATTCATGTGCAGAGTAGGGCACATGATAACGATATTGTCGAACACATCCCGGTAGTACCCCTCCAACATATCCAGCACGAAAACGGTCTTCCCACAACCAGTCTGCCCGCACACTATGGCGCAGTGCGGGTCGCGGGGCAAATCAATAGATGGCTTGCCGCCGGCAGGCAGTGGCTTGCTGCCATCAGTAGATGGCTTGCACGAATCTCCCATGGTCTATATTAAGTTGCCCGTCCATAATAACGTACAGATATAATTTCAATTTGCCGCCAGGTTGAGCCTTCTTGGTAATCTGGATTGTTATCCCCTCGCTGCCGTTGACGATGCGGCGACCGCTGCCGTGCAATTTATCGTCGTCCGTGGATCGCATGTCCAACCACAACGCGTACTTGGTGGTCAGGTATTCACCGATCTGCACGACGGATAGGTCCAGGTCTTTGATGACGTGTTGGTGCCGGGTCGGTAGTTTCATTATCTCATCCCACTACTGGTGTACCCTCATACCGGCGCTGAACAGCTGGTCGGGAACGCCATCGATGGTCACTTCCACCTTTTCAATCTCAGGGTTGAAAAACTTCTCGCTGTCCCTTCGGAACGGCTCGTAATCCTCCAACGGGACGATCTGGATACCTTTCATCGATCGCGCCGGCATGTTTAGGTTGATATTCCACAGCGTGTCGCTCTTATCCCGCTCGACCGATCTATGCCGCAGGACCCTATCATACAGGATGGCCACCTTCCCCGAGTACTGGGTTCGAACCTGCCTGGCCAGCTCCGGGCTAGTGACCATGTCAGACTCCAGAGAGATGTTGTCTATGGTGTAACTAGCCTCATCACCGTTCGGCGAACGCACGACTTTGCTGTAGTCGTTAAACGTGAGCTCGTATTCAAGCCTATCACCCAGCGCGGCCTGGTAAAATGGCGCGTGTCCCGTGAGCAACTCGAAGTCGAGCGGCACGCAGAACCTGTTCCCGTACGCTTAGGCGATAGCATTTTCACTGTCCGAGATCTTGTCTAGCTGGTCTGCCGTGAACTGTACCCCATGCACAACCGAGTCGATTTGCTGATACCTTGGTACACGCCATTGATGCGTTCTCCCTTAATTTTTTTCAGAGGTCCCCGTAGCAGTGAAAGATGTCACTGTCGTCGATGCTCAGCACCTTGTTACCACTGATCTTGATGGTGGTTTTCTTGATGATGGCTCGACCTACGTTCCGCACTAGCTCGCGTTTGTCGTTGTCGGAGGTCAACGTGAGGTTGAACGCCAGTCGAACCGTGCCTGGCACGATGAGGTCATTCTCACCCAGGTTTAGGAATCTAACCAGCAGCGTTTGGTTCTGGTCTATCTTGCTGGGATTGTTGGTGATGGTCACCACCTGGCGCGGCTCTGACGCCTAGAGGCTCTCTTGATCTTCGGAAAGGATCTAGTTTCCTGCTATACATTGTTATATAGATAAAATATAAAAGTTTAATATAAATAATGGCTGACGAAATCGAAATGGACGATTTTGGCGCTGGTGCGTCCGCTGACACGCCTGAGGTGGATTCCCGGTGATGTCACCTCCCTCATGGGCGACACCATTAGCAACAAACTTTTAAAATCAACCGTCAACGACTACTACAACGCGTTGAAGTCAGATAGAAACTACGTCGATCCGTTGCCAGACTATTCCAAGTTTACCATCGACAAGAAGGGCACGCTGCTATTGAAAGCTCTCCGATCACATGAATAAGAGCACTAGAAAGCCACTCGCTCTGTCTACGCTGGTCACTCGTTATGGGACGCAACTGATCCGTGATGAACTAGGCTTCATAGATTACGGTGGCGCACGGCCTAAGCTTCCCCCGAAGGTCGCCCAAGATCTGCAAGCAGCCAGGCCCGAACTCAGTAATACCAAGGACGTACCCCAACGGGCTAAAGAAACCTCAGACAGCATCCAAAAACTATTGGCCACGTACCATGACAAACCCTTGCCTGGTCTCGAATTTCCCCCTGAGGGAACTGTACGGTCTAGACAAAGCCTTGAAACGTGTATGCGGAGAACTCGTGAACAACATGGGGAAACTGAAACCCATCATCGAAAAACGGTTGCGTGACTTACAAGATGAGAGACGGACTCGGTTGGAATCCGCTTCCTCGAACCGGAACGGCTTCGATCCCAGATCAGCCGCGTAGCGGGAACCATCTATCGAGTCCTAAATGAAGACACCATGCTAGCTGACAGGATCCGAATCCTCTTCCGAGAGAAACGGATTACTATCGCCAGCATTCTGACTGCATTGGGCTTCATCATATTAACCCTGGAGGTGTTATTGACAGGGGTACACCAAGTAGGGGCACACCAACACCACCAAGTGGTGGGGGCGTCAGAGACTGGAGTGTCTGTCAATGTCACGCCACACCCCGTTGTAGCGCACCACACGGCGAAGTTGAGTTGATTCTGCCAGAACTGCATCGGGTTGTTGAACCAAGCGTGGACTGCCTTGACGTTAGTCACTGAAAGCTTATACCGGTCGAACACATCTATAAACTGGGCGCTGAAATACAACCCATCAGCGACCACACTCTTCATGTATGGGAAATCTATGTCCAGTTTAGGGTAAAACACTCCCGGCTTGTACATTTTTTAAAGTATTATATAATGGATATATATACTCTAACATGTACGTAACACTTCCAGGAATAACGAGCAGTGAGGCCATTCAGCAGGTGCACGCGATCCATAACACGTCGGGTCAACTCGAAGTCGCACTCTGCGATATCACCTACCTACCGCGATGGACTAACATCAAAGCCAGCAACAATAAGCTGTTCGTCAGTGGCACCCGTAACCAGATAATCGCCGGCTACTACAGCGTGTGCTCACTTAGCGACGAGGCCTTCAAACCCTTGGGAGCCGAACTCAAGATGAACGACTCAAACGGCACAGTGGTGTTAACCAACAACGGGATAAACCCCTTGAGGCTCGGCCGACCATTGGCGAGGACACTCGGGATACCACCTGATGAGATAAAACCAACAACTACCGGCACAGGCACGAAGTTACCTGACCTAGTACCGTACTGAGAGCTGTGCATTCATCTCGGTCAGGTGAGCACAACGGACAACATTCAAGGTGGGCACCCTTCCACGATACTGAGAGCCATACCGGTGAAAACGGAGAAATACAACGACGGCAGAACCGAGTTGTTTTCAACGCGGCAGTATAAGAGGTTAACTCGGGGCAACATCCTTGAGTTGATAATATCGGTGTTAGATATAAAGCATAATCCTGTGAATACAGGATACCTCAGCATAACGCTGCACATAAAATGACTAGCGCACAAGGCCCCGGAATGAAGTTGAAAAAATGCATCAATGCGGGGATATCCGACACGCGGATTCGACGACCCCGGAGTAGATGGTAAATTGTACGCCTTGCAACTGAAAAACAACATTTACAAACGCGTTGAAGTCCCCATCATTGTCGGTACTAGAAACCTAAGTGATATAGTAGATACCTCAGGTGCAGCCTCCAACACTCGGTACGCCCTAGTCCGCACCAGTGATGATAGATGCATGGTATACCCATCGTTCGGAGGCAAACTGTTAGACTTAGAAGATGTTGAGAGCAACGTGACGGCCATCACCAAAAATAAGCAGTATTCCCTCATCTTAACCGACGATGACAAGTGGGTGTTGTTGCCCGCTAAAGTCGACTGGTTTCTCAATATTAGGCTCCCTGCTCGCGGCTTACGTCCCGGCTCAGAGACGTAGCGTAGTCATCAGCCCAGCCGCCAGTATGGCAGCCCACATGCTATCTAGCAAGCCCGGGATGCAAAACGTGGTATTGCAGTTGGTGTCTGAATTGGAAGGCGTGGTCAACATCCTGGAGACTCTACCAGCGAACTCAACACTGGTCATCAAAGAATACCTAGGGGAACCATCGCCGGATGAAGTCGAAATCGTGAAGGGGATCAAACTCCAG